TCCACTCCGCCTCCGCGCCCTCCACATCGAGCGCCCGCGCCCTCTTCAGCATCAGCGCCGTCCCAGCCCCATCCGGATGGGGACCTTGCAGCTTATCATCCGGGAGCGAGAGGTCGACGTCGAGGGTGTACAGACCCGGTACGTGCAGGAGCACACGGCGCTCTTCGACGTCGAGCGCGGCGCTCGGTATGCGGTCTCGCGTCTGTGGTGGGCGCGCGGATACGAATACGACGTTGCGTAGCGAGGTCCGAGGTCGTGAGTGGCGAATCGGAATGGCGACGAGGGGGATGTTACGCGAGGCGCGCAGGGATTGTGGAAGTGCGATGGATCGTGGAAGTCGCATTGAGTACTGGTTACGATTCCTGCCGTAGCGCGAGCGGAGGGACACGTACGAGCTTCGGGACCCTGATCTCGATACGCAGGCGCTCGCCCGTCCGCGCCCACGTCCACGCCGGCGTCTCCTCCACCGGTTTTCCTTCCTTTTTCGGACTCGGACTCGGACTGGGAGTCTTCAGGATGCCCTTCTTCGGCGTTACCTCCTCGATCAGCGCCCTCGCGGACTTGCTGCTGTTCGCGCGGAGTTTGTGCTCGGCTGGGTACAGCTGGGGCGCGAGCCTGAGCCTGAGCGGCGGGAGGGGGCCTTTGGACGCGATGTTGGGCGCGCCGAGCGTGCGGGAGAGCGAGAGGCCGGACTGCGATTCGATGTGCTGTAACGCGAGCTCTGTGGATAGAGGGAGGGAGAGCAATCAGTGAGGGTGTCGAGACTGGAGAGTTTCGGCAGTGCGCAGGGATATGGGCGTGGGGGATTGGCTGGGGGGTTGTGTTCAGGGGAGCTTGGACGAAGCTGGGAGTGGATGGGTTGATGTTGCCGTGTTGACTTGCACGGAGCAATGACGAGATAAGATTAGACCCGCAGTGCTATTCGGTGTCATTTCAAAGATCCCAGCCGTGTAAGATGCAGATTCCATAGAGAAGGCGGATGCGAACCTCGTGTCCGTAACGTCCACAACGTTCATTTGATGTGCACGTCGAGAATGGTTCAGTGCGAAGCTTAAACTTACCGATAATGTAGAGCTTGAAAGCCTGGTCCTTTAGAACCGGACTCTTCACTGACGTATGGAACACGGCGTCGAACACGAGAGCCGCCTTGCCCGCTGAGACCCAAGTCAGCCACATAGTCCTCAAAAGCGCAGAAAAGCCCGCCCAGACTGGCACATTGCGTGAAGCGCCCATTCTTGCAGTGCACGCTGCCGCGCCACCCAGATCGGGCGCGCTACGCACCTTTGTCGGCCACGCTGCGGCCATCCGAAACGAGAACAGGCAAGAACGGAGCAGCATCAGCGTCATCAGTCGGAGGCGGTCCCTGGGACCGCATTGCCGCCTGCGCGGCGTCGAGCGCGCCCGGAGCAGGGGGTGGCGCGTCGTCGTCGAACGCGACATTCACAAACGTTTTGAGCCCTGCCGGCACTGCGATCCTGCCATTGTAAACTCCGGGCTCTAGCGCGGCCGACTTGACGCAGAAGCCGGGCTTGGGATTGAGCGTGACCTCGATAGTTGAGGCCATTGCGAGTAACTGAAGAGTGATGGCGAGAGCAAGCACTGGGCAAAGTGACCGGGCCTTACGGCGAGGTCTCGGCATTGCGCGAGAGGAGATCACGGTCAGGTGAGGTAACGGCGCTGGACATTTGCGCGCCGCGAGCTGTGACTCGGACCAGGCTTGATTCGCGCCACGATGGCTACGCACTCGAGCGGTATAAAGGATGGGATAGCCAGGTTCCGTCGTCAGCAGCGTTCTGCGTTCGACCTCGCTCCAGCCCTCTGATCACTCTTTCTATTTCCCTTCCACAGAGGACTACGCAGCTGAGATGGCTATCGAGAAGAAGATGTTCACCGCCAGCGACTCTGGCTCCTCCACCCCGCTCCCGGCTCCCGAGGACAGCCCCGCGATGCAGAAGTACCTCCAGGACCGCAGGGTCATCGGCGTAAGTCGCTTTTTTCGTTCAACATCGCGTTTATATTAATATCTGGTGCAGTACGAGCCCCTCGTCCAGCCCGCCCTTCTCCGCCACGAGATCCCCAGCGCAGCCTCGCAACGCACAGTCACAGAAGCACGCTACAACGCCGCACGTATCCTCGCTGGCCGAGATGACCGTGTCGTCGTGATCGTTGGCCCGTGCTCCATCCACTCCCCGGAGCAGGCCATCGAGTACGCAAAGCTGCTCAAGGCCAAGATCCCGCAGTGGTCGAACCTGCTCATCGTCATGCGCGCCTACTTGTGAGCCCCCACCACCCTCTTTCCCTGCGAACGTGCGCAGCTGACCACATCCCACAGCGAGGTATACGCGCTCCGTGCGATTCCATAGAACATGTGACTGACGCTTCCGTCTAGAAACCGCGCACGACCGTCGGCTGGAAGGGCCTCATCAACGACCCCGACATCGACGGCTCCTTCCGCATCAACAAGGGCCTCCGCATCGCGCGCCAGCTCCTCTGCGACCTCACCGAGCTCGGCGTCCCCGTCGGCTCCGAGCTCCTCGACACCATCTCGCCGCAGTACCTCGCGGACCTCATCTCCTGGGGCGCGATCGGCGCCCGCACGACCGAGTCGCAGCTGCACCGCGAGCTCGTCTCCGGCGTCTCCTTCCCCGTCGGCTTCAAGAACGGGACCGACGGCTCCGTCGGCGTCGCGATCGACGCGATGCGCTCGGCCTCGAACCCGCACGCGTTCATGGGCGTCACCGAGCAGGGCCTCGCGGCGATCGTCAAGACGCGCGGCAACAAGGACGTCCACGTCATCCTCCGCGGCGGCAGCAAGGGCACGAACTACAAGTCCGAGTTCGTGCGCGCGGCCGCGGACACGATCGCCAAGGCCAAGGCGCTGCCGTTCCCGAGCGTCATGGTCGACTGCTCGCACGGCAACTCGAGCAAGAACCACAACAACCAGCCGCTCGTCGTCGACGATATCTGCGCGCAGCTGGCCGCTGGCGAGCGCGCGATCACCGGCGTCATGATCGAGTCGAACCTCGCGCCGGGCCGCCAGGATGTTCCGCCTGAGGGCCCGTCGGGGCTCAAGTACGGTGTCTCGATCACTGACGCCTGTGTGGACTGGGAGACGACCGTTACCATGCTCAACAAGCTCAACGATGTAAGCTCATACCCTTGCACTCCACACGCATACACTGACAATACCTTCACAGGCTGTCGCCCAGCGCCGCACCGCGCTCATCTCCGCCCGCCTCGCCTGAACTGCCGCCTCGCGCACGTTCCTCGCTGCTCTTTCCCCATAGGCTCTCCGTTCACCCTCGATGCTCTGCGGTCACCCAAGCTGTATCCCGACATGTATCCGATGTTCTCCGAGTCTCTAGCCCACCACCACATACTGTACCACCCATATCCTGTAATAGCACCCCACATAGACACAGCGCAGCCCTCCCACTGCATTACGCTGCCCCACCATCGAAGCTTGTATGATATACATAGTACATGTACACTTGATCGGCCACTCGCATTGTGGCGCACCAATCAAAACTCTTCGATGCCACATTATTTCTTATAAGTGTCATAGGGCCGCACGCGGCGAAACCCGCTACGGTCATTGACCTATCCACAGCCTTTGCGGCTCGCATTCCCGTCGAAGCTCGTGAACGTCGCGCGAGTTGAAAGGATTGGACCGGGACTCGGATACACATCGACAAGCACTGCAGGGTCGCATCACCGATCGTATTGAATGAGTGAACGTTTCCAACATACGATCGTCATGGCGACCCTCGGAAAGTCTACGCAACCTCTTCGCATTGGCGGACTTCAGGTCGAGCATAGTTGTTCCATCGTGAGTAGCTCTGCCTGAAAGTAGACTCACGCCGTCACAGCGTAAGATCGACGAGGTGCGCTCACCTCGAGCCGCGTTCCGCGCCTCTCGGGCTCGCGCACCGAATGGTTCGCAAACTTCCCTACCTCGTCTGCAGACGATCACTTGATGTGGGGTGGAAAGAGACACGTCTGAGATATGGCACCACACGGCATAAGGCAGAGATTGTGAACAGCACCGTCGAGCTTGAAGTTGCACGATCCGGAGTGGTTGTCCGAGTCAATGGCGCCGGCAATTGCAGTATATAATACGGTGGCCCTGGTAGATCCCGCAGATACACGCGGAGATCCTCGCGGCTACGTACGAATCAGGCATTCAACCATTCACGGAGGCAGGCTCTGACACTGCTGTTTCAACCCTAACCTTAGAAGCCGCCGGAGCGCCCGACAGCCTTACACAATTTGCAGGCACGCTCAAACGCCAGCCAAAAGCGATGTTGCTTTCGTGAAACCAAGACCCACTACTAGCGTAGCGGGAATTTCGTGCGATTTTACGACTCGGACACAGCCTCCCTCAACGCATCGAGGTCCACAGTAGCCCAGATCACCTCCCAGCTCTTCTTCGCGCCCATACTCCCGTTCAACCGCAGACTCGCCTCGTTCTTCAAGCTAACCTCCACGCTCCCGAACGGCCGTCCGTCCTTCTCGAACGCTCTCACGAGCTCCGCCCTCATCGCGGCCTTGCCCAGCCCGCGCCCGCGCACCTCCGGCCGGACATACAGCGTGCTGACGCTACCCTCACGCGACGTGAAGCACCACGCCAGCGGCTCATCCGTAGACCGAGAGAAGATAGCCGTATTGGGCGACGCGAGCACCGTCGCGCGGCCGCGCGCGACAGACGACATCGAGAGGACCTCGTCGAGGTGCCGCTCCTCGATCTGCCCGAACCTGTACTCGCTCTCTGGCAGCATAGTGCTCAGAGCCGGCACAGACTCAGGCGTAAAGATCATCTTGGCCCAATTCTCGCTCACGCGCGTCGTGGACCGCCTCTCCTTCATGAACGCCGTGAAAACCGAATGCAGGTTGCCCACGATCAACGAGTTCATCTCGGGGTACGACGCCGCGACGTGCTCGAGCATCGCGTCCAGATGCAATTGAGCCGTCTTGTATTGCACGGCGAGAGGCGATCTGAGGGTGTCGAGTTCGGTTTGGGTCTTTCCTTGGAGGGGTGGCTCGATGGAGGACCAGAACCAGAACCCAGTCTCGTTGCGGCATGTGGGGTTCAGGACGGCTGTGGACCAGATGTCGTCTGATGGGGGATATTCGGATGGCGCGTATGAAGCGAGTACGACGTAGGGTGCTCGTGCATTGCGTGTTAGGTACTCCTGTGTGACGGCGCTGGGCAGATGCTGCCGCAAGTAGGGCAGGACGGTGGCCTGCGGATCTGGGTGGACGAAAACGGCGGGAGAACCTGGATATGCGCGTTATTGAGTATATATATTGTACTCGAGAGATAGTAAAGCCTACTCGTCAGAGCTTCGGGCAGCTCAGTCGCGCTCATGGCTGTTGATGAGGTGCGTAGTGGAGACGGAGTGAGAGCACTCGAAAAGATCTCGATCGAGTCAGTTGTGCTGTTCAGGTCATCCGTATTAGCTGTTTCGCGAATCGGAGCACTCGTGCCGTGAGCAGCATGGGTTGCATTGGGTCAAGCCACTATCTGCTGTACAAGAGGGTGCAGACAGTAACATGATTGCGATGAGCTGGTGGTGGTGTTGGAAAGAAGTGCTATCTTGACGCGCAGCGCCACACGCACCTTGAGCTTACACGGCTGTGGCGCCCGGAATGTTCCGCCAGGGTTTGCGAACGGACAGTAGGATAGCAGTCTAAACAACATCGTGTTCTCGTCGTAGATTGTAATAACCAAGAAGTAACATAGATAGCATACATGTATGAGCGCGAAGACAGCAAGAACAGACACAAAAGATCAAAGCAAATGATACAGACGAGTCGTTACCCAAGCCTTACAGAAGCATTCAATCAAGAGATAGAGCGTACAGCTATGCAGTATAACCGTTTTGAGTCACAGTAGGAGCATATCCGCTTCCAGTCGGGGTCACTTGGTCTCCGAGCATAAGCTGCATCTCAGCGTCAGAGAACCCGAATCCGGAGAACGACCGCATGCCGCTCAGACCGGGCATCTCGTGGCCGAACCCGCCACTCTGGGCTGGCGTCGAGTCGTCCGCAGCAGAGGGTACCCATCCGGTTGCTTGCGTTTGCTGAGGCGGCCACACGTTGCCGCCGTTCATCTGTGGTAGATCGAACGACCAGGCCGGCTGCTGACCGCCTGGATACGGAACACTTGCAACACCGGCATCGTTGGATGGGCTTGTGCGGAGGTGGCTGTACGAGCCCGCTTGAGCATTTGGAGCCCATTCGAACGGCGGTCCTTGAGCGGCGGGGTTACTACCAACGATCGGCTGGGTCCAAGTGAGAGCGGGTAACTTTTGCGCGGCTGCAGGAGGATCGCCGACGTCGTGCGGGAAAGCCGAAGCGGTCTGAGAGGGCGGCCGTGATGTGTCCCAATACCCAGTATTCTGAGGTGGGAATCTTGGTGCGCTGGTCGAAGGATACGCAGTATGGCTTCCCGAAGCCGATGAAGATTGCGCAACATTCGGGCCCCAGTCTTCAACAGGCCTCAGCATGCCAGTAGATGCCCGCCTGTCCTGAAGACGCGCACCATGGCTCGGATAATTCTCATTCCACGCCTCTTCTTGTCCGCTTCTTGATGGGTCCGCGCGCCAATCACTTGACTCTCCCGCGCGTGCCATGTACTCGCGGGCATGAGAGTTGGTCCAGCTCGGTGGAGGGGTGACACCAGGTGTTGGAATCCTGCGCATCCCTCCGCCACGTCCATCGCCGGGAGGTGGATAGTCAGAGTGGAGCGAAAGGGAGCTCAATGGCGGAAGCGTCTGTGGCGAAGCAGAAGATCCCACGCGCGGTCGGGGTAGTTCAGCGCGTCCATCATCCCGCCCCCCATCCGAACCGCCAACAACGCTCAACGTACCACCTTCATGATACGGCAGCCCCATGCTCTGAACCCGCGGTAGTACGTCGTGCTTGATCCTCTCCCTCTCAGCAGCACTGGCGTTGATGTAGTCGATGTGATAAAACGGCGCGAGAGCTTCAAGCACGTCAAGTGCTTTGTTCGCAGTGGGTAGGAAGGCGACACGACGAAGAGTGTTCATCGCGCGCTCGATGTGCGGGATACGTGCATGCGCGCTGAAGAGCAGCGGACGAACGTCGCGGTCGATGTCCATGGGCTGAGGGGAGGCATTGGGGCTCGCGGGAGAGTTGACGATGGTGAAGATGAGAAACATGGTGGCGCTGAAGAGGTGCACCGGGGCCCAGTTGAGATGACCAGGAATAGCAAGAGCATCCTAGATGACTTATCAGCATCTCGTGCACGATAGTTTAACGAAGCGTTGGCAGACATACCCCAGGCGCAGCAACAGCCACTAGGTCAATCAACTCTTTTGCTGCCTGAAGTGCAACCATGAGAGAGAACTCTCGTTCGTCTTTGCCCTGACCGGCCGGTGTCTCTCCTCCATGCGCGCCGGGCCGCGATAACCCGACAACCTGGGTCGCATATGGTCGATGCAGAGTGAACCGGATGTGTAGAGTGGACATCCGGAGAAAGAGAGCCTGTGTGGCCTGTCTTCGGGATCCGGTGACGAAGCTGCATAGATCCTGTGCGATCTGCGAGGGTGCAATCTTGAGACCATCGGGCAGCGTTTCTAACCAGTCCGCGAGCGCGTTGTCGTGCCTGATCACTCGATCATAGTTGACGGGTGTAAGTCGCACGGCATCCATCATGATGTCGCCTAGGATGGATGCCAAGCGGAAGAGTGCAGTATGCGCCTCGTAGGTACGTGTACTAGGCTCTTCGCGCTCCTCGACATCGGAAATGCTTTCATCTGGAGCCGGCCCGTCGCTTTGTGGACCTCCGATCGAGCTCGGCGATGCGATGGATTCTGGTGTACGAAGTACGGCAGGAGGCGAAGGAGGCGAAGTGTCGATCTGGCTCGGACTGGGGTGGGATAATCGAGTGCTGAAGTGTCTCGAGCACGGCAATGGTGTTGGACCCGCACTGGGGAACTTTGTATCGTAGTGATCGGGCGAGATAGCCAGCGGTCGTCCCTGCATGAAGCATTGCCAGCGTTCCATTGTCATGATATGCCACCACGCCCATCTATACTTCTGCGTTAGCACATCGACTGAGCTGACCATGATGTGCAGAAGTGTCACGTACCGCCTTCGCTCGGCGACGTATGGGGGCATCTTTGACCCTGGATCGCGATGTAAACCCATAGCTGTTGCGATGGTAACGAGTTCGCCGCGCACAGCCCAGATTTCCTCAGTGTCGATCTTTGTCAATGTCAGGAAGTGGCTCCTACGGCGAGTGTCGTCAGAGTACGAGCAAGATGTATAGCATAGTGTTTTACCGAGCGAGCAGTGTCTCGACAACGTCAAGGCTGTAGGTCCGTCTCTCCGCCTGCTCACGCGCGAGAGCCGCACGACAGACGTTATACCACCGCACGCCGAGTTCGTCCGACCGACTACTCGTGAGCAGGCCGCTCCGATCATTTCTGGGCTCTCTTGATAGGCTGCCACGGCGACCTAGTTCATCGCCGGATAGAAACAAGTCCAGGCTTCTTGCGAGCTCATGTTGAGGAGGTAGATAGTGTATAGCAATTGCACAGATGATGGCCTCCATAGCAAGCAAGAGACGGCTGTAGTTTGATGATGGCGAAGCTTTGTACTCTTGCCAGCGAGCCGCAAAGGCAACACTGTCAATGTGCTTGAATAGCCAGGAGCAGTAGTCGAAGTAATAGTCTGGGTAGATCGTCTCAGTAGGCGCCTCTGGATTTTCACTAATCACTGTACCTACCTATGAGGCCATCGACGACGCTAAGATGCGGAAGTTCCTTCAGGAGATCTGAATCTGCATCATAAGCGCGTGCCCCAGATGAGCGCGATCGTTGCGTTGTATTCGATCTTACACCATCATGTAGCTATAAGAAGATTCAGTGAGATACGTGTGTGACGATGGAGGGGCATGGACATCGAGTAACGCACGCTATATGTGGTCCCACTAGACATGAGATGCGCAGCCAGCGTTGTTGGTCCGGCGTATAAACCTTCTCCTTCGGTTCTTCCAAGCGCATGCGATGGAACCTCAGAGCGACCGTCGGGTCCTCTCCCTCTCCCTCTTGTGCTCGTAGATTCGGCAGCAGTCTGGCTGGTATTCATGGCCTGAAGCGCTGAGACCGCTTGACGTATCTGTTCAAAATAGAAATTCTGATCGTGATGGGCGCTTGTTGACGCATTGCTGGTCGGTATTGTCGGTGATGCAGTCACAGGTTGAGGTGGCGGTGGGGGACGATAGAGAGCCGCGTCTGCGCCTTGATAACATTGAGCAGTGGTTCCTCGAAGGACGCAACTGCTGCATGGCCGGTTTCTGTAACGATCATATGATACGTGAGCGTGCTTCGTGGGACCTGGCGGCAACTCATGCGATTGCCAGTGGAGTGCCTCCGTACCTATCGCACTTAAGCTTGCTGGAGCGACACGGTTCGCAATTGATCGCTTTGCGCTGTCGTTTGGCTGCGGGTGGTTCATTGGGTGGTCCTGGGCGGCGTGTAGGCCCGTGCATGCG